GCCCGGCTTATTTCGATTAAGAACGAAATTTTATTGAAGAGCTACTTTCAAAATGAAAAGAATGAGAAAATAAGCCATTTGCACTATGGCGTCACTTCACCAGTACAACCAGAATCCTTTTTGTCTTCCCTTCCATATTTAAATTTGGTAATCCCAGCGAGGTTTAAATAACGAAAGTCCTAATTTGTCCAAGAAAGCAAAACCTTAAAGTATTCTGGTCGTGGTTGTATCCGTATGTCGTCATCGTGCAAATCGCCCATTCAGACAACCAATCAGAATGCAGTATCTGAATTTTTAAAAAAATCATTTTATAATAAACCAATAAACAACTAACATGAGCACGTGAAAAATGAAAGGAAATTTGACCACGAGGTCCACCTCTGTTGTTTGTGTAAACGTAGTGTTTCATCTCTCTGATAGCTACACTAGACTACACTTTACCCTTTTGTTATAACAGTTGCAAACAATCAACGCATCCCGTTCCAGTCAGCACACACAATAATACGAGGTTGAGGATTGGCTAGACAAATTCATAACCAAGCCTCGAATTAGTGCATTTTTTCACAGGGACGCGCGCGGGAACTGTGTATTCAAGTCAGGTTGAGCCTCTGAACGGGTATTACGGACAAAATCGAAGTGTCGACAATCGCAAATGTGCTGCACTTTCAGAGTTTTTGTTTTACTTATTAGGGAGCTTAAGCAGCGACGTTTTTGAGCGACGCACGTCAACCGGAAGTGAGGTATTTTCCCTCTTAACATGCCTTGATGATATAAAATTTGTATTCATTTAGCTTCTTTACTGTTATAGAGGCGATTTGACTGAAAATTTGCGCGAAACCACCGTCAAAAAATGAAAAAAGGCCACTTCCGGTTGACGTGCGTCGCTCAAAAACGTTGTTGCTTAAGCTCCCTATTTTCTCGTTTTCGTCGTCACTGTGGTTACGCTAAGCTCGCTCTCTCTATATAAACCTTTACATAGAGAGAAAACCGTTTACATAAAGACTCATAAAACGGCCATAAATCGGCCCGTGGACCACACAGGAGAGACGTAACACACCTTTTAAGTAAGGTAAGCTGTTTTTTATTGAAATCCTTTCATTTTCGTAGGTCACGGAAACGATAGGTTTTTTTCCCATACAAATCCTTATATTTTGAATGTTACGCAACAATGCCGGTGCTCGCCGATGCTCCTATTTCGAGCTTGGGCTACCTGTGGCAAAAGGGAAAATTTCGCCGGCCTTCAAGCGCGCCGGAAGCGCGGAAAGAGTACTCGTGCCAGTCCTACTCCGCATCACACATTAAATGAAGAGCGGAGCGCTCGTTTCACCGCCCAGCATTTATCCGCCCTGTTCTGTAGTTATTGCCGGGAGTTACTGTAGTTGTTGTAGTTTCTGTAGTTGTTGTAGTTCTGTAGTTATTGTAGTTGTTGTAGTTCCTGTAGTTGTTGTAGTTCTGTAGTTATTGTAGTTCTTTAGTTGTTGTAGTTCCTGTAGTTGCTGTAGTTCTGTAGTTATTGTAGTTCCCGTAGTTATTGTAGTTTCTGTAGTTGTCGTAGTTCTGTGGCTGTTGTAGTTCCTGTAGTTATTGTATAATTATTGTATATTTCCATGGAACTCTATGAGTACCACAGGGACGGGCACTCCATAGAAGTCTATAGAACTCCGTGGATACCCCGTGAAACTCTATCTGCATTCCATGGAGTTCCTTGGAACTTCACGGGGATATTTTACATAGGATGCATGTTTGAGTATAAAACGTTGGGTCCACATGGTAATACAACCTAACCGCCTAGCTCATCATTTCGGCGGAGCAGCAAAAACGTGATAGATCATCCCGCATGTAGGCTATTTATCATCTCATTGCAAAAAGTACTGCTGGAATAATACAGTACTGCATCCAGACCTTGAAATAAGTGGGGGGGGGGATATCAACTCTTTTGGGTTACTCACTATCAGTACAATGTAGTGAAATTTATTTAAGACAACTTATCTTCTTTCAGTGACAAAATTACACTATTTTACAGTGCAAAAAATGAAAATTAACGTTGATCATAGTTTGTAGATATATTGATATTGTTTTTGTATGATCTTACAAATGACTTGACTTTCTCCTGATGCACTCCAAAAGGAACTTTTAAACAATGGAGGAACAGTTATGCTATTTCAAACTAAATTGACATGAAGGTAATATTACAGTGAATATTCAAAGGCATTAAGTGGCTCCTGATCTCATGTAAAATTCTTCCTTTGGTTCATGAGCATAAGCAAAGCAAATCGAAAGGAGAATCTAGCATTTTATAAAAAGTGACTAAAAGGGCTTTAAAATGGAGACTCCCTCAATTATTACTTTTGTTTTTACTACAGCGAAAAAAATAAATGGTTTCACTAAAGTCAGCCGACATACTACAATCAGCTCCCTCGCTACAATGGACACCTCGTGACAATGCCCCTTTTTGTCCTGACAGATACATTGACTATCGTTTTAACCTCTTTACAAAATACTTTTCTCTCTGACCCCTGATGGTGGCCATTGCGCAGAGGCTCAACTGCATATAACAAAAGAGCAGATTCACTTCAAAGAGAGTTTTTTTAAACAGTTTTAGCTAGTGTAACTTCGGTTTGTTTGGCAAGCATGCAAATGAGCAGCACAAGGCCATAAAAATGTGCCCAAAGTACTCGCAAGCAACTGGCAAAGCTTCGCTGCTCACTTGTGCTCCCCCAGTGGCACTCCCAAACAAAACCACCAATTTGGCTTTATGTAGGCTGTTCAAAGTGTTCATAGAGTGGGACCGGAGGGTACAAAAAGAAGTAAAGAGCCTTTTTTCTCTTCTGTACTAAACTGCCACCCCATTCTTCACTTGAACACTGTGACACATTACGGCTAGTCTTCATGTAAATGTCAGATAGAATTAAGGCTGAATGAAAGGAATTTTAAAAATAACAGGTTATTGTAGTTTAGAGACTTGTTTATCATCTTAGGCTTGTCGTAGTTTTGCAAGCCTCTGTGACAGCTCATCCTAAAAATAAAAACAAACCTCATTAACAATTTTTTTTCAACTTAATGTATTTCTCTTCATGTTCAAGTGAACATATTTATCTTTGATCGGCTTTAAGAAATGTAATTTCAAAATGTAATGTAAAATATGTTTGAGTTTCTGTTAAATTGATTAAGTTAAATTAATTGTAAGTCCTACTTCAAATTTGGTGCCAGTGAAACTGAAAAACTTCTTGAAGACTGAGCAAAAAATTAATATACTCCCACAAAATGACCCTTTCTTGGTAAATTTGGTGCCTTTTACATTTTGATGTTTTGTCCCAGAGCAGAGCACCCTTTTGTCCTCTTGAGTGAGGAGGACAAAAGGAGGCTTTGCCTGAATCATGTCAAACTTTTGAAGTCGCCAAACTTCTGGACTAGTCAATCTTGTTTTCTCTCGTCAAACTGGTTTTTTCTAGTCTGAGTCTGTCTGTTAATCGATAAACCAATGGTCATAAAAAAGCTCACTATAGCAAGCATGTGGTTATTAGGCCTGGGTTCAAAGCTATATGCTAGAAACATGCCACCCATGCTCGACAAGACCTTACATGACGTTCATGCAGAGTTTTTCTCGAGTACACCAAAATCGAATAAGCCAAACAAAAGTTCTGTTGGCAGGGTGGTCATTTGTAAACATTAGCTGAAAGAGTATTGCCTCAGCAAATCAGAGCTTCTCATCAGATTCTGGACAGATTTACATTAGCAAGGAATTTTTGAGGTACAGACGAAGAGGTAAAATTGTACATGTACCCAGTGATGGGGAGCAATGAGAGATGAGTTATTACCACTCTTACTGATTAAACTTCTTCTAAGAGTATCAACCATTAAAATAATTTAATACCTGCTCTGCAGAAGCTGCAGAAGCTGTTCCAATTGGTTGCTGTTGTCCAGCAGGGAGCTCCATATTTAATTCCAGCCTGAAAGAAAAAAAAAATCACAAAAAAGTCAAAATGGGTTTCCAAATTGCTTGTAATCTATAATCTGTTCTTGCCCTGGTTGTTCAAATGCTGGATGGTGCTATCCACCAGATAAAACACTATCCAGAATATAATGTTTTTTCAAAATCAATTGTGTTATCTATTGGAAGCAGTGTTCTCACCATGCCGCGGCCTTGTGGGATTCCCGCAAGAAAAACTGAAATGGCGCATTATAACCAAGAAGATGCGCCCATTAGGGCGCAGGGGCAAGCTACGAGTCAAACGGACTTAAGTAGTTTTAATGGTCAACCTAACACTAAAGCATTCTGTTTGTTTGAATAAATAAAAAACATGATATCAAATGAGTCAAAGTCTTTAATTTTGTTGCCTTTACTTTCATTGGTCCCACGCACGTCCCACTACTTCATAAACTCCTCCTCCGAATCGTAAACACCTCTTCCGCCATATTGGATCAGGTAGGTACTTCATGTAACAGACAATTTGGAGTGCGGGCTCGGGTTCTTCGTACCGCATGTTTTTTGTAACTTTGTCCCCCTAATGTTCTTACAGGGCCCCTATTTCTCAGAAGAGGGGGCCCTGGGACTCCCCAAGGCAAAATCTTGGTGAGAACACTGTGGAAGGAGATTTTATCCAGTAGATAGCGCTATTCACCCGGAACAACTGGAGCTTGACATATTGCTACCCAGACACAAAACTTGGGATTTTCACAGCTACCAGTATCAAGGCTGGAAAAAGTCAATATCTCTCATAGATCAAACTGTTTCTCTCTTGAAAAATTTATTGATCCTACTAAAAGAAACTCAAAAAAAAAAAGACATAAGAAGGACCGGGACAAGATAAGGAAAAGCACATCATAACCTCTTCTCATTTAACCATGTTGTTTTGCACAAGGGCTTGGTTGTATAGAAAATACAACAGACCTTTGGAGAATTAAGATGAACTGCAAGTAGTCTAAAATATATAACAGGCTAAGGTTAGCTACACAACCAAAAAAGTTAATGATGGTTAATGATAGCTCCTACTAGTTACCTACCCTGCTTCATCTGCTACTTGTTGCATAAGATTATCCACCTGTCCCTAAAATACAAATCAGCACTTATCAGTTTGCTGGTTAGTGGCATAATTGTGCACGCACAGAGTCCACAGGCCAAGGCCGACTTGATGTGCAATCACAGGATGTTGGTAAACAATGCATTTCCAGTGCAAGGGATTCACATCGCTAGATACAGGCATACGCACATAAGTATTGCTAATACCCCCTTGATGGCACTCTACATTGCACAATATTATTGTAGTTAGTTCCTGATGACTGTGCTAATGTACTTTAACATACAGGTGTAATGTTCCCACAGCACTTGTTAAATAATGTTAATATAATTATATGGCATGTATGAGTGAACTATGGTAAAGATTTGCTTGTATTGAATGGAGGATAAAATAATTACTACAACATATTGTAATAATACTTGCATGTGTGGCTGAAGAAAGACTTAAGACTGAAAGCGTCTTATCTATATGTAAAACTTGATGACGCACAAGACTAGGCTGGAGATCCTCAAGTTAAACATACTCAAGAGTATAACTTGAAAAATGAACATTTGTTAAAGTGTGTCTCATTGAATTGCATAAGCTTAAGGAAGCTACATCGGCTTTTTACATTCTTGAATAAATTGTCAGTCATTACTTAGGACCCATGTTCCACTCTCAAATTACTGCTGCAAAACGTCTTGATAATTTATTTCTTAGTCTACAAACTGTGCTGCATACGTTATGCATAATAATATTATGTTAGTTCATGTGTGTACAGCTACACACAGCTAGGCTATGCATAATTTTTTATGTGAACCACACACAAAGGAAAAATATTGAAACACGGTTTGAGTCATATCAGTAGCTGGTACCCACGCACTCTTCTAGTAAACAAAAAAATGTTGAAAAAAATTGTTGCCCCACCTGTGGCACTGTGAGTGTTGTAGTGTCACTCATGGCCTGTTCCATGTAGCTTGATTGAACGTCAAGATGTTCAAACTGCTGCTCAAACTTGTCCATCAAAGCAGAAATCTGAAGAAAAAAATCATTAAAAAAATGTTAAGGTTAATTTTTTTTTTTACTTTGGATAGCTAACATGATTTCTAGCTTAAAAGCAAGACATTGTTTGGAATAATGACAAAAATAGATTGTTTGTGCAGATTTTTTCTTTTCTTTTGGAGGGAGATCGAAGAGTCATATTTGGCAAGTGTGTACAGAACCATGACTTTAAAATCAGGCCTAGAGCAGCAAGGACAAACTATTTTAAATTTTCATTTTTTAACTGTTACGTTAATGACTGGAACTCTTTACCTAACTCTGTTATGTCAACTTCCAGTTTGAACTCTTTTGAAACTTGATTACTTAATTATCCTTGTAATTAGTCATTATTTCATTATTTCTTACTATTTTTGGATTTTCTTTTTTTTCTTAATTGTTTAAGTAGTTCCTAACCTCTAGTTTCTTTTTCCTTAGATAATCTACAGTTATATATTAAATACTCTGTTTTTGATAATTGCATTATCTTTTAGTTTTGGAGCAGTTTTTATATGGGAATTCAGTTTCCCCCTATTGCTTTCCTTTACTTACTGTACTTTTATATATAGTTTTTATGATGATTGTTTTGATTAGTTATAGTATATCTTTGTACGGTGGTAAAAAGCATCATTAAACTTAAACTTAAACTGTGTCCTTGGAAAAGTGAGAGTGGAGCACGTGAGAACAAGTGCAAAGTATGAGAAAAAAATTTCCACATACCAACTATTTTCTCATTTACCACCCCCACCCACTATCGATAACAGTCAATAAATTCCCCCATGGTTATTGTTTCCACATGTACACTACAGTAAAGTTAAGTAAAGCAAAACTTTATTTACACAGGGTAGCCCATTCAGCTCTAAGGCTGGTCTCCATGGGGGCCCTGTATCTTAAAAAATACTCCATGATCTCTTAAGAGAACAACAACAGAAGGTCTGTAAAGAGGGGGAAAACGAAAACCTACCTTTTCTAAGTTCATGGACCTCATAGCTGAATCCATTGATTTTACAACTCCAGCCATTGACCCAGTCACCTAATGTTACACAGTCATATAGAAAAAAGTTAAGACTGTTACTAATGATTATGTACTGTAAAAAAACATTTATGTGCACACAAATTTTACACTTGGTATTTTGCAATTCCTAAAATCCAAGGGCCGTCATTTAGTTCCAAATAATATTATGCTGGTCTTAGGCTTTTTGATTCCCTGTTTATTAAGCTCAGTGTGTTTTTGTTTATTCTAAAGTAGGTGGTAGCCAACTCGAAAGTAAATGCTACTTTGGCTATCACGCACATTCAATTTTATACTCACGACTCTGTTTTATCTTATTTAATATTAACTATTCAAGGCAATCTGTAACTTAAATCTGTGAACTTTTACTTAAATAGTGTGAAATAAAATGAACCAATGAATCCCAGGCTAGGAGAATGGAAGAAAAATTGAACCACACTAAAGAAATTTCATGCTGTTTGATTCTCCTATGCTTGTTGTACCTAGCACCCAAAAACTTGAAATCTTAATGACAGCCCTGAAAAACCTTTTCTGATGCCAATACTTAATAGAACTTGCACACCAGTGCACGTGCAAAGCAGAAAAAAGCAGTTTGGGTTTATTAGTTCTGTTTCATTGACTCCTTAATCATTTTTTTTTTTTCACCTGTTTCATTGTAACAGCTGTCTGCACTCGAGATGCTGTGGCATCAATTCTTGAGCTTAGTCGCATAAAGTTCAAGGCCTACGATGAAATAAAATAATAAGTTTTAAATATTTAACTCAATAGCAAAATCTGTATGACAGGAAACAAAATAAATAAATAAATAAATAAGTAAATAAAAATATCACCACCTTTTAAGTGCACATTATTACTTTCAGGTCAAAGTTCAAGAACCAAATGTTTATCTTTTACACTACCAAGCTTCTATGTAATCAAGTAGACAGTTAATGATTCATTTTATTCTCATCATTAGTCTGAACAATAATCCACCAATAACAATTACGAGAAGTAAGATATTGATCTGCTTACCTGATTCTTTTGTCTAATGGAATTTTCAGCATGTATTCTAGCTCCATCTACATTTCCTTTTTGGATAGCCTTGAAAGAATCAAGAATGCAGATTGAGCAAAATTTTAACTTTTTTCCATCAAAAATCATTTACGCAATTAATTCACACAAACAAATTAGTTACCTTCTTTAACTTCAGTTTCTCTGCTTTTTCTTCCTTTTCACACTTCTTTGACTTTCTTTCTAAATCCTTAGCTGCAAACTTATTTCAAAGGGAAAGCAGTTACATCAGCCTTTTGGCCATTAACATGGACATGTCTATTCTCCTCACTAATAATTCTCCACTTACAGTTACATTAATTTTCTTATAGTAATTAAATGAAAACAAGAATTTGCTTAAAAATCAAGTCTATGTTACATGTATCTTAGTACTTTTTTTGTTAAATCTCCTTATTTTCAAGGAGAAATTAGATAAGGTCAGCTCAGATTTGACCTGTAACACATATATTCAACTCATTCCATAGGTCTTAGGATGACCATAGAGGCAACCAAAACCGGTTGTTTTGTACCCAAGTCAATTCACACCCAGCAAATTTGTACCCACACTTTGGTCAATCTGTACCCATTTCAAGTTGATTCATACACACAAAAATAACAGCCTGAATACAACAAAGCGACCAACAAAGCGCCTTTGACACATGATACACCTTGTTCTTTAAGCCACAAGGAGAAGTAGTGCACTATGAATGTAATAAGTTTTGTTCTTTACGTGTAAGCCACAAAACAGGCACTACACATAGAATATAAAAATTCTGCTGTTGTAATGTTTGTAGGTTAAGTTAACAACTGCCTATACCCAGCAACTTGAAATCTTACTGACAGTCCATTCCATATTAAAAGTGAGGCCCTCTAAGGGGGTTGGGGGTAAGTATGCCCTTAGTCTGAATTTCAGATACGCTCATTTCATCCGCAAGTCAATTCGTACCCAAGTTGATTTTATTTTGTACTCAGATTTTTGAAATTATTTATGCTTATTTTGGTCAACAAGACACACAAAACTTAAGTAGGCAGGATCTCTTTTTGGTCTTATATTCCTTTTGTTTCTCATGAAAGTAGCCAGAGAACATGTTCATAGCAGTCAGGGGAAATGTTTGGTACCTGGCCCTAAGTAACAGCCCTGCTTATGGGGAAACTGGTCGTCTCCATACAAAGTCGTTTTGATACAAGTCGTTTCGATACGAACTCAAGCAGTGAAACTGCATAAAAATTTCGATCACTTCAAGTTAAGTTTGCAATAAACTAGAAAAACATTTGGGTAAATCTTCTTTGTTCTTTAAGCCAAGTATGTGAAACTATTTACACCTTGAAGGAATTAACTTGTATTGAAACAACTTTGTATCAAAACGACCGGCAACTGCTTATGGACTTGATAAGAACCTACCTTTAAATTAAAAAGGTGTTCTAAACGAAGCAGAAACAACTAGTCAAGGAAATTATTCACTGCAGCAGATAGATCATGCTCAACTTTACATGTACATAAAATATTAACAATTATCAAATTTAATTTCTTAAAAAAGCATATGTAGTTGCAAAAGTGGTGAACATAGGGTGGACTCATCAAAATGATACAGCGTAATTTTCAAAAATTACTATAACTAACAACCATCAGCACATTGCCCAGATCAGATCAGTGCTACTAACAAGAGTGACCCTCTTATTAAACGCACTCCATATATTCATTCGAGCTTTATGCATTTCTGCAAACAAAACATCATCACAAGCAACAAACACAAAACAAGTAGTAACTAAGGACATGATCTTACAAGGAAGATCAAGCCGACAGTTTAGGCTTTTAACTTCAAAAGGACTTGCATGCAAGACAAGTTTCTTCATAGCTAAATGTAGCTAGAAGACTAACATCAGATGAAAATGATGAAGAGAAGACACTTTTAGATGCAAAGGATACTTTCCATCTGACTCGTCATGTTGATAAGAAATCCTTAAGGTCCCCTACACCTGTTGAAATACCTTTGCAAGTTGCTTATTTCTGCTAGCAATAAATTTCAAAATGTCCGTTCCTACAATGTTTTCATCTCCCAAATCGGTAAAAATGATGTCATCAGTGAGCCAAAATCAGATGACCAGCAGTTTCCCTTCCTACGCTATATGACGTAGGTGGACGTCAGGAGGCAGGGGGGGGTGATGAACTCGTCAATCGCTCCTATAGGGATCGCGCGGCGGATGATCTTGGCCATCGTGACGTCACGAGAAATTTATCCCGGGAACTTTAAATGGATTCAGCGAGCGAAATTGTTTCGTGGTTTCAAGAGGTAAAAGTCGAGACGTTGCGATGAAACGACCGAAGGTATGTGTTTATCTATTAATGCTATATAGTAAAATTGCAATATATTCTAGGAAAGAGCATTTCCATCGTAAAAAATCAAGAACTTCCCGAGATCGACCAGATGGTACAACTCATACCGGCGCGTCTTTAGAGACGCATAACTAAAGAGCCCAGCAGAATTTAGTCTCGAGAAAAACAAATGACGTTAATATGGTATGGGTCTCTCAATTAGTGATAGAAGTGAGTCATCTAATAAGTTAGCAAAAATGATCAGTGGAATAAAAGTCGCAAACCTCAGGGATGTTTACAAAAATTGCGAAAGTGGCGTGGACAGGTCACGAAACATAGCGTCATGATGTTCATACTAGACTATCAAATTGTGTAAACAATTCATTAAAACTAAACAAATGTAAGAAGCAAGTGTTTTTTTTTTTTATAGAATATGGGCTATAATCTTCAAGGGTTTTGAAAGGATTTCCTGTTTGAGTCAAACGTATCACAATGTTAATAAAGCGTATTGAATCAAATCGTCGGGCGATAACCAAGGATATTATTATAGCTTATTGTATTGCAACTTTTCACTATAAATTACGATCATTTTGTCGAAACATTCATTGCTCATGATGGAGATAAGTTCACATTGCCTTTCTCTTTGCTTCTTCGCCCCACAAACAAAGGAAAACATGGTTTTTATCCTGTAAATAGTCAAACAGAATCTATCACTGGGGTAAAGTGCCGTGAGCTAAACTTTTTGATCAACATCAACATTTTTAGGGCTTTATGCAGAGAGTCCAGGAGGAGAATCCGCAGAAAGGATGGGTATGTAGCTTTGCCTTAATCGCTTTACAGAGTTAATAGAAAAAAAACTAGAAAAAGCCAAGAAAACGGACACTAGTAAGCGTTTCAATGGTGTAATATGTTTCCTCGGGCGTCCGCATCTTAAAAATGAGGTGGGGAAAAAACTTCTAAGGATATAAAAAATTTCAGGATTTTCATGCGATGAATATCATCATCCTTCTCACACTTTTACAATATAAAAAGAGACTTCTTTAATGATACATTTTTTCGGTTTTCCTTTTTGTGTAGTTCAATAAAGACACCAAAGTTCAAGAACGACCATATAGTTCAATAACTACACGAGTTCAGAAAATGACACGAGTATCAATGTATGTTTATTAGGTAATGTCAAGGCAGGGGATCTACTGGGAGTGGGAGTGCAGGGGCATCAGTTTAATTTTCAATTATTGATGCTTTTTAACTTACTTGGACTCCATGCTATTGTCAGTTACATCAAGTGACACTGTCCAGTTCCAATAATCTTCGGGGCCTGCTCGTACAGTTTTATCACCCAGCTTGTACAGTTTTATCACCCAGCTAATGTAGCTTTGTGGTAATTTCTCAGTAGGCGTAACTTAGTAAAGACCCAATCGTTCCATGACTATAGGTGGTCCATTATAATAGCTCTAAAGCCCCTCCTTAAAATTTGCTGTTGTACTGCCTCTGCTGATATATTTCACATAGCCTGACCTTTTAGCTATTGGTTTAAGATGAGAAATCAGTCTTTGGATTATCCTGAGAGGTTGCTTGAAGTTACAAAAATTTATAATTCAAAGGGGACATATTTTTTTACCATTGCTTGGGGGGGCGGGGGTGGTGTTTGTGGTTTAACTCACCTATATTAATGTGAAGTTTAGGGAGTAGGTGAGGAAAACCATTATAACATCTGATTTAAGAGATGCTTAACAAATAATTAGGGATTTTAAGTGATAATATTGCCTTTATTTATTTTGTTTTGACTTTTGTTTATATAAATAATCTCTTTTTGTCTGACTGATTTTATAATTAGGTGCTTCCTTAGTTGGGAATACTCTGTAGATGATGAGAAAAAACAAGCAGTGTATGATGGAGGAGGTGCTGCTTACTGGATGTCTGTAAAGATCTAGTATAATAGATTCCACGAAGAGAGTCGTGCAGTGTGGGAAGTGGAGGATGTTAGATGGAGTGGATTCCATGGAGCAAGAAGAGACCATACAGGATACAAGAAATTAGAAGAACCAGTTTCCTTTTATTTTTTACATACTGAACAAATGTGTTTTCTTTCTTGCATAACAGGTCTGACTTAGACTTGTTTACATTTAAAAACTTTGCACATTGACTTTGATTAAAAGAAACAGATTGTTATCAAAAAAATTTTCTTACACTGGTGTTTTTCTTTTACTTCTTCTTTAATTTTTGGTCTCTTCTAGAATTTGGTTAGCCAAGCAGTCTAGCTGCCCTGCCATTCGTTGCAGTTGGGCAGCTACCCGCTTCGCCTCTATTACTGTGTTTTTAATTTCTTTTGCTTTTTGTTTTAACCTTTCTTCTTTTCCTTTCAACTCTTTCTCTTCTCTTTCAATTTTCTTTCTCCTCAGCTCAATCTCAGTGGCTGCCAGTCAGCTCCTTACTTCCATTTCTTCTTCCAGGGATAGCTGTAAAAATGAGTAACCCACCTATAATAATCTGTCTATTATTGTTAACTTATCTTACCCCCATCTCTACGATAATAACATATGATGAGCTCATCCTTTAAAACAAAAAGCATCCTATCTCAACAAACTGTTGAAAGCCTTGTTTCATCAGGTATGGGGAGGAGAGGTGAGGTAGGGTAAACGCAAATAAAAATAGCCATAGGGGAATGGGGCAGGTTTCGGAGAAAAGGCCTGTTTCCATACGTGTTGACGTCATTATGGTACCATTCGGCTGAGCCTTATGTGCCTTTTGTTATTTTAAGATGCCTTTTGCTTTCCCAGAAAACCATGAGATTGGGAGTCTTGCCCTATCAGCACTTGGCTGGTGTCACCAGGGGACTTCTGTAAATTATATAAATGAGTTACAGTACTTTCCCATTTCATTTTTGTTTGTATAAAGCTTGTTTCACTCAT